TTTTGTTTTTGTTTTTGTTTTTGTTTTTTGTTTGTTCTTCTTCATTGTTTAATTTAGGCTTAATTCTTCTTATTTTCATGGCTTCTCTGGTCTTTCTCTTTTTTTCAATGTTTCTCTTTAGCCAGAATGCGGACATTCTCTGTTCAAATTTAGTGATCTGGATTTGCTTTTAAACATTTGTTCTCCAATTAATTAATGCGTGTTCTTTTTGCTCATCAATAACATATCGCCACCGAATAAACGTAGAGTGATGTCTTCCGAAAAGTCTGGTACATAAATCTACTTTTGACTCAGTTATCTGGTATTTTTTATATTGATTCGTTGTGCCAAAATAATTCACCTTTTCGGCGATAGCCGTCACGTCGTAAACCCTTTGTTGGATTGTGTTACGATCAACAAAAAGTTCGGACATCGTTCTCGGATTCCCATACAAATTCACTGAGTTTAAAGAGAAAATTTAGATAGATTTCTTTAGTTAGCTCTCTTAACAGCAATGAGAAAAGCTTCAATCAAGTTAGAAAAATGATTTTTTACTTGTATTTAGAGAACTACACTGTAACTAAACAAACCAAGCAAATAGTTCATTTAAAGTCAGTACATTTGTATGGAAATCCGAGAACGATTTCCGAACTTTTTGGTGAACGTAACACAATCCAACACAATTTACACCACGTGACGGCTATCGCCGAAAAGGTGAATTCAATTAAATGGTGCGGCCTTAAAACAGTAATCGCGATTTCTCTTGACCCGTCTTTTTAACCATGCAGTAATTCCAAAACGTCTCTAACTATTCATTCTTATGCTGTTTTCAGAGAACAAAGCACTTATACGAGGACAACAGAATGGCCGACACGTCCATAGTCGAACTACTTCAGATGCTTGCAAAAGTCTGGGTTGATGATATCGAGGTAGAGGGCAGAGCCAAAAGCGGTAACAACCAGATCCATGAGGCAGTTTTGACTGGAAACCCAGAGGCTTGTCGCCAGGAAGCTCAGAGATGTAAAGTGAATGAAGGTAATCTCAGAGGAGACACACCTCTTCATTTGGCCGTAAGATGGATAACACATGTTGGTGTAAACCTTATTGAAGTTTTGCTTGAGGCTGGAGCAGATGTCAATGCAAGAAATAAATGGGGACAGACGCCTTTACATTACGCCGTAACTGTGAAATCTGTAGACAATGTAAAAAGACTGTTAGGGGAACCAAATATTGACATTAATGCATCTGATATCAATGGTTATACTCCTTTACATTGTTGCTTCAGTGTTGACTTTGGTCGTACACCGGGGCCATATTTAGAGAGTATAAGCTACGATTTGGACTTGAACGCTAACTTTATCAAAATAGCAGAAGCACTCATTCGCGCTGGCGCTTCCTTGAACACCCAGACAAAGTTTGGTCTAGGGATTCTTCATTTTGTAGCAGCAAGAAATGACAATACTCCTCTCATAAAACATCTGATGGAGAAATACCAAGCCATCGAATTGACCCAAAAAACTCTATTAAGAGAAAATTTTCTTCATGTTTACTGTAGATCGGAATTATTTGAAGATATAACAGAAACATTAGAGTTCATAGCAAAACTTTACTCACCGACGATTGTAAAAGAACTGCTAAGCGGTGGCGATGTTTCCGGGCGGCCACCATGGGCTTACATGATCGATACTTCAAATATCGACAATGAAACAGTCAGAATTATGATGTCTTACGGAGTGTCAGTAAGCGAACCCGACAATTTGGGAAATACGGCTATACACAGATTAGCAGGTGTGTCTGCTTCCTGTGTTCTTACAGATGTACTAGAATCGTTAATTACGAGCGAGTCTAGTTTACTCTCACAAAACGTTTATGATGAAACCCCCGCGTTCGTGTTGTTTTTGGACCCCGTTTTTGAAATTTTTCATAAGCATAAAATTAATTTCAACGCACGAGACAGATGGGGTCGTACACCGCTGATGTCGATCATGAAGCATAGACCAATTCCTGAACTTTTGACCAGGATGATTCTGGAAGGAGAGGCAGATGTTAATGCCACTGACGCCTACGGGTCGACGCCACTCCATTTTGCGGCATACCACAATTATCATGAACAACTTGAGATTTTATTAGATCTAGGAGCGAATAAGGATGCAAAAGACATGTTGCAAGACCGACCTTTAGATACAGTCAAACGACACTGTAGTTACCGCTGTTATACCATCCTCAAAAGGGCCGAGGGATTTGAAGAGTTATACGGCAGAGTTAGGTCGTTTGACGAAGTTCTTCTTGGATTGCCTAAAAGCACTAAATCGTCCAGTGTGAAAACATACATGGATATACAAAAAACAATGATGCTTCCTGAAAATCGCCAAAATTTGTGGGATTTTCTTTTAGAAACATACTATGACAGATCTCAAGAAAACGCAAAAGAAGTGGATCGTATAGTAGAAGAGGTGAATGCACTTGTGCAGGAAATCTGTACAACAGTTGCTGGGTATGACCACAGATTCAAGATGTCTGTATTTCCCACAGGTAGTTCTGCTGAGGGCACTAAAGTAGGCAGACCAGACGAATTCGATTTCGTTCTTTGCATAGACCACTTGAACGAAATAACAAAGCCCGTCCTCATCAAAGAGTGTATTGAAGCAGGATTTGCGTGTCTCAAATTTACGAAAGATCCAGTTCCGGAAGAGTTTATGTCCTTTTGCGATAGTGAAGGTTATTTTCTTGCTTTCCCCTATCTACAGCTGTTAAAGAAATATTTGGAAAGGGCTTTAAACGAAAACACGCTTTGGAGAAGTGGCAATTTATACTACAACTATGAGGATAAAATGGTTGTTATTAGGGGTAAACCCGTCTTCAATTTTGATGTGTACTGGATAGGGTCAGTTTACAAACAACTTAAAATCAGCATCGACTTAGTTCCCGCAGTGTACAAGAAAGGATGGTGGCCAGCAAATATAAACGTAGACCAAATTCCCTTGATGACAGACGAAATCAAACATTCTGGATGCATCCTAATTTTACAATCGCGGTCATACGAATTTGACTACGAAAAGGGACAATCAATGGATAACAATATCAGCTTTACATGCAACAGCGATCAAAACAAAGCCTTGAGAAGAATGTTGCGGGTATCTGCTGCACCGGCAGAAATCTCTCTCATGAAATCTCTCCCACCTGTCTTTCGGCGTGCTTATGCCCTGGCAAAAATCATGAAAGGGAAAGAGGTATGCCCTGAGATAGAATTTGAATCCATCAACCAATGGACAAATCTACTGCAACACCAAAGGAAATTTGATGAGAAGAAACCTCTTCCAGTCAATCCTTCACACGTGATCAAAAGCTACATGTTGAAAAATTGCACCTTTTATGCAATGCTCGAAATGAAGAAACGATCAAGTGACATTCATCCATCCGTGATTACAGCAAAAATCTTTCAATTTTTGTTGCATTTTGCTGACAATTGCTACTTGAATCCGTTCTTTCTGCCGTATTCAGATGTATTTGAGTTTGAGAAGGACACAAAAAAGTCATCCTTTGACGAGTTCATAAGTAAAATAAAAAGAGAGCTTAGCATTAAGTTGATTCTAGGAATGCTAGGACAACATTTCCCGGAACATTGCTTGACATCTCAAATTCTCCCGCTGTAAATAGTAAACCTATTATAGAAATGTCATGATTACTCAAAACTCATTTCACAAGATGTTTTAATACTTTGCAAATTATTTGAGACCTATTTCAAATTTAAGACATCTTACAAAATTTTGAATCATTGTGAAAAAAGAATGGACTTCTTCAACAATACGGCGGCCATCTTGGATCGTAGGGCATCAGTTATGGGGCGTCCAGAGGGCAAATAAAGCTTTGTTACAGTAATGACGTCGATTGTTATTTATAGCTTAAAAACAAGTGATGAATTAAGAGGGCACATCGATCACCTTTACCCATGAAAGAAAGACAAAGATTGTTTTGCCCCACGACAAGATGGCCGCCGTATCATCGAAGTAGTCCAAGGTCTATAAATTACAGTGCGACGCGCCTAAACGTGGCCACCCAACTTATTTTTTACCAATGCCGTTGAATCCTTTTCCGCCAAGTGTTTCAATTTAAAAGACTTTTTACGAAAGACTTAAGTGTTCGCCAGCGAAGGGACAAAAAAAGGTATCATCTAGGCATATTTCTAGCCTTTTATTTAAGTTTTTGTTGCAAAGAGTACGAATTTATTTTGAATATTTTCGGTCAAATGCACAAATTCTCGCTGTCTGATTGTCTAACTCGTTAGGCGCGTCGCATTGTAAATCGATCTCATCTTGTTACCATTTATTATTTACATATTATTTTTATCTAAATACTGAAAAAATGCAAGTAGGATTTAATTCTTGGATACTTTACTATTGACTTTGAAAACATTATGGGTACATCTTTCGGCCAGTCAATATTGTTTTGTAGGGTCAAAACACGTTTGTCAACTACACCATTAGCTGATAATTTGACTTAATATTGTAGTTCGGTTTTTGTGGTAGAATAATCTGATTTTGACCAGTAAAACTGAGTTAGATAATTTTATGCATGTAGGAAACCATTGGTTCAAAATGTATCCAATGTCGAAAGACTGATATAAACATTCAGTATATAGTGCAGAACAGGGACAATTCTCCTTCACTTGGCTGCCTCCACGAGTTCTATGGTCAGCAGTGTCCCTTGATGGTATTGATTCTATCTGAGGACTTGGCGTATTTTATGCGTCAGTGAATTCCTTATGACATAGTGAGCGTACTGAACAAACTTAGGCGTCGGGTCAAACGTTGAGCTTCACATGAGACAATGGATAACATGGCGGTCTTCTTTTAAGTCATTAGGTTCGGTTCACATGTGAAGTTCGATTTTTGACCTTAGCCTTATTGGCAATATTATTAGGAACTAATTGATTATTAATTCATTTAAAGACCATTACAGCATCATTCAAATAAAGTTAATTTTCCGTAATAGACAACTAGTTAAGAGATTCTTAACCTGAAGAAATATGATCAAACTTAAGGAGTCCCAAGAAATATATTGGCGTATTTGCATATCACTGACTTTAAAAGCGGTAGAGTAAAACAAAGGAACAATACTAAGCATCACGTTAACAAGTACCTGTTCCATCCGTGACTGGTGCCACATTCTCAAGAGCAAAAGATTTGGTGTGCAATCTTCCTGAACAAGTATTGAAACGTTCATTTTGAAAGCAAGTTTTTGAAATTATTTCCTTATACGTTAGTGAAAAACGATATACGTTAGATGAAGAAGTTGTAGCAGCAACTGGGTTCGGCCATGAATGACGCCGAGAAAAGTAAATCATTCCTTGCAGGCGATGATAAGCTATCAAGTTTTCCAAAAAGTGTCAGAATAATGACTAAAACTAAAAGTAAATTGCTAAGGAAGAAAAAGCTGACAAAAACGGCGGACATTTTGATGGCATTCTTGTTTTGACGCCGTTATAACAATAATGTTAAATAAAGTTTTTTAGCTTTGTCTTTGAAGTAGAGTAAGTTATTTTCCAATGTTCAGTGATCTTTAAAGATTTCATTTCCATTCCCTTGCACTCTCCACCAACACTTACAATTCAAAGTGAAAACAAAAGATGTGAAACCCCTAATAATCAATATGAAATAGTCAAGTAGACTCGAAGAAAAGAATATAATCGTGTTTATCTACTGTATCACACATGTTAGTGATCTAGTGTTCTCACACTATTTATTTCCTAATACTTCATTTCCTTGTTTCCGTGTTCTTGTTTCCGTTACTTGTTTTATATTTGAGTGATTTTTCTCTCAGACACTCCTATGCCGGCCTTAACCCCTCTGCAGCCCCCAGCACAAAACAAATGCCCAACACTGGAACAATGGTCTAGTTCTAATCTAGAATGAAATATTCAGAAAATAGCGAGCTTTCAGTTATGCAGAAATGCATTTTCTGTCTGCAAAACCGAAAAAAAGTTTCACTGTTATTGTTCGTTCACTTAGGTACGGCTCAAGTGAAGGTCGACGACGTTTGACCTTAGCCTAATCGTACTTCTCCGACCTTGTTATAACTTTATCCCTATATACCGCAAACCTTAGAAAGTTTCATATGCAGTATCCAATTTAATTTAGTTACTATTGGTACAAAGCTTAAGAAGAAAAGGCTGACAATAACGGCGGACATTTTGAGGGCATTCTTGTTTTGACGCTCCCTCACAGAGGAAATGTTCCCTGCAAGTCCTGGTACTGCAGTTCGTCGGAGCTTGAGAACGATACGTAAGTAGAGGAAAAAGATGATAGGTAATGGAATTCCAACATTTAGCGCAAATACTTAATTAAAGTCAGCTATTCCTATCACGTTGACTTGTCCCTGTTCCGCGACTGGTGCCACACTCTGAAGAGCAAAAGAATTGGTGCGAAATCTTCCTGAAAAAGGAATGACACAGGTACATTTTAAAAACAAGTTTTTAAAATTCTGTCGATAAACTTCAGTGAAAACCAAATAGATAAAGAAGTTGTAGCAGCAACTCGATACGGCTATGAATGCCACTGCGAAAAGTATGTTGGTCCTTGCAACCGGTGATAAGCTATCAAGTTTTYCAAAATGTGAAAGGAAAGTAACCACCGTAAGAGGTAAAAAACTAAGTAAGAAAAGACTGACAATAACGGCGGACATTTTGAGGGCATTCTTGTTTTGACGCTCCCTCACAGATGAAGTGTTCCCTGCTTGTCCTGGTACTGTAGTTCGTCGGAGTTTGAGAACGATGCGTAAGTAGAGGAAAGAGATGATAGGTAATGGGATTCCAACATTCAGCGCAAATATCACAAAATAATAAATCCTCAAGTGTAGGGATGATGTAACACCAATCCGCGCTAAATGCATGATGCATTTTGTCGAATCTCCTGTCTTCACAAGCGTCACAGTGAAGAAATACGTGGAAAACATGGACAGAGAAAACATCCAGATCCCTACGATGATGTACTTGAGTTTGTCCTTGCTCAAACCTCCTCTGAGTGGATGAACTACAGCGTAGAAGCGATCGAGAGCGATAAACACACAGCTGTAAATCGAAACACCCAAAGAAACGTATTGCAGGTAAGGTGCGAGCTTACAAAGAGCAAGTCCAAAGTCACCGTCAATCAGCCATATTTCTGGATGAAAGATAATATAGGAGATATCTCTTGGCATCGAGAATAATGGAACGAGAAGGTCACTGACCGCCATGTTGGCAATCAGAATATTGGTCGTACTTCTTAGTCGAATGTCTCTGCTTGTTGCCCATACAATAAGCAGGTTACCAGTGAATGACACTACAAATAGTATGCAGTACACCATTACCTTAATGATCTTGTTAGGAAGAGTTTCTTGCGTAAATTCTGAAAAAGTCGCATTAGCAAGGAGAACCGTTGTATTCAAAGACATGGTGTGAGGAATCGAGAGATGTCCAGTAACGCTGCTCACAGGTGACGTTGTCTTTTCTTTTCGTGGTAATCTTGGATATTAGTAAAAGCTACCGGTGAGAGAGAGTCGATTATGGATAACCTAATTTGTTCTTAACTTTGCCTTCGTACTGATCTAATGGCATCCCCAGACTAACAAACGGACAGCAACGTCTGGTACACCTGGGTTTTTTATAAGCATATATATTTATATGAGTGAAGTATGAATACCCGACGAATAATGATTATATAGGTAATTACCAGTAGAAATGGTTAAAGTGCCCAAACATGTCCCCTGAGGCACTCCATGCACCAATGGGGAAAATTAGAAAAAGAAACAGAACAAGAACAAGAAAAACATTAGAAGACAAAACAGAATATTTATCTACAATTATTGTCAAAAATGTTGAGAAATTGTTAGCTTTTAATGATATTTTATGTCAAACATGAAAAATTTCTCTTAAAACGACCCCCTCCCCCCCTCTCCCTCCCTAAACAATTTTGCCAGCTTCCAGGGAGACAGGGCTGCTTTACCTACTGGGACCAACATGGGGGAGAGGGGTTAAGCACAACAAACATTTTTAATAAGAGAAATTCTACTATTTCAGAATTGGATGAAAAATTCCCAACTATTTTTGTCCAAGATTGTCTTAGATCTGTCTATGGTAGWAATCATCAATTCTTGCCATGAATCGCGAAATACATGTTTTACGCATCCCTTCCGTATGATAATAAGACAAAATTGCAATAGAAAACCTTCACAATGCAATAGAAGGAGTTAAATTCTGCTTTCCGCTTGCTGTATATTTCATGTAGATTCAGCTGAAGCGACAAAGGATATCATTTTTCTTTTAAATATAGCGGCTAATCGATAACCATAGACTTTAGGCCTAGGGGAAACGTCGAACTTTCCATGCACAGAACTCATTAAAACTAATGGATATCAGGTGATAATGAGGCGGCATTCTTCGATCTAATTAAGTTCGGTGCATGGAAAGTTCGACGTTTGCCCTAGGCCTTAGACTGTTTAATTGAATGTGAAAATTTTCAAGGAATACGAATCCAAAGAATAATCAGAACCGTCAGAACCATCGGAAGCATCCAATAAAGAAAGCAATGAATTTACCGAGGACCCAATGAGCTCTATACTGATCAAATAACATGCAGCCAACCTAACTTGCAGATGTTTCCATCAAGGCAAGAACGTAAATATTACTGTAATTTTTAAATATATTTTTTCTACAACAGTTAAACTACAGTTACTCAATATATTTTTGTCGGTTGGGATAAAATACCTTACAAAGAATGAGGTTCAAATTAATGCAATTTTGTTGTAAACCATTGCTTTTTTAAAGCTTTTAGGTTTTCCTTAAATGTTATACTTACTTTATGTGTTTCTGCTTGAAAACAAGCGAGAAAATGTACTTCTTTGGTCATWAGAGCGACTTAGAGCGAAGTGAAACTGTAATGAAACCGGAAGTATAAGTATGAATGCTAATCTCTGTAAAATGTTTGGAAATGCGTGATATGTACAATTTTCTATTTGTTAGTATGTTGTTTTTTTTATCAGTAATTTTAACAACAATTCGTATTTCTCTTTTGTATAATGATTTAAATTCACATTGAGTTGTCTTTCCATCCGTTGGGTATATTTTCTGGGTCTGACAGGCTCTTCGTTTTTTCTTTACTTTTAGAGCTTTTGATACTGTAAGTAATTTAAGTATATACCGATTCTAGAGAAATATTGACCTCCTTTGCAATATCTATTAATTTGTTGGCTTTTTGTGAAAAAAGTAGATGGCGACTGCTTTCCATCCTAAACTAATAGCTTTGCTAAATGCCATTTTTCTGACTTCTATCGATGTCAAATTCGTGGGACGTCATATTGTCTTCTGCATTTATGACTTCATTACAATTAAATAATTAAGAAATGACAGTTTCTAGAATTTTTAGTCTATTACTTATGCTTGATGCATAAATTCCTTTGAAATTATTTCCCATTTCTGTTAATTACAAAAAACATCTTTCAGACAATCATGATCAAAAATGCTGAGAAATTTTCAGCTTTAATGATATTTTTATGTAAACCCCCTCCCCTCTCAATGCCTTTATCGCAATCACGATAGCATAGTCTCTACCGCGTTACTAGAGAAAAACGTTTACGCATGCGTGCCTTTCAAATTGTTTTCATAGAATCACAAGTAGCCCAAGCTTATAAGGAAATGTATGGGGAT